TTAGCCCTGAACCTGGCAATCATGAAATGTTTTGAGTTTGTTCTCTGTTGCCTTGGAAACTCACTATGTGTATATCTTCTTCCTGCAGGGGCATAACTCGTGACCTATCACCTTAGAACTGGGTCTGATTTCATTCCCTTTGACTCCTGTCTCAACATAAACATCGTTGAGGTCAAGAATTTTCTAGATAATTTGAAAATGGCCACAGAGTTCAAAGCGGCAGGCTTCCTGCTGAGCTGGATTTTGAAGGGGTGTGCCCGATGCTGAGTAAGCCTAGGTACACACCCATATGGGCAATCAGTCACAGAAGCTGAGCAACAGCTCTGAGCGGAGATCTGCCGGCTGAGGAGGGACCCTATCCATCAGGTGAAGCTCTCTAGCTAAGCGCCAGTCTTTAGTTTTTTTTTAATGTATTTATTTATTACGTATACAGCATGTATGACTGCAGGCCAGAAGAGGGCGCCAGATCTCATTACAGATGGTTGTGAGCCACCATGTGGTTGCTGGGAATTGAACTCAGGACCTCTGGAAGAGCAGTCAAGGCTCTTAACCTCTGAGCTATCTCTCCAGCCCCAGTCTTTAGTTTTATGTCTAGGTAAGAGGCAGAGGACCCTGGGGGCCAGACGCAGATGGGAGCAGCTAGTAGAGCAGAGCTGACCCTGAAGCCTCAGAGGTGACCTCTGGAGGACTGAGTGGTATTTGCCTGGATGGCTCTTAATGAGCTCCTCCAGGCCCATGGCTTCCCTTTCATACACTCAGAAACACTTAATATTCAGTCGAGTAACCAAGCAGAAATGAGCCTTGCATTCCCTGCCTAACTGGATGAACAAACCCCGCCGAGGGTTATTTAGACCACACACACACACACACACACACACACACACACACACACACACACAAAGAGCTCAAAAATGGGACCTGATCTAAAATGCACAGGGGAGAATAATGGATGCTTCTGCTAGGTCTTTGGAGATGAAGTGATGGGCATGAGGGTGAGTGTAAGGGGTCTGGTTATCCCTTGTGTACCAACAAGAATCCAGTTCTAATACAGGAGGAAGAACAGGGGCTGGGACGCTGGTAGGCTGTGTGAAGTTAGGAAAACATTGTTTACTTCCCCTCAGTAATGGTTGGGAGTCCAAATGAATGTTTGTGCTTCTCTCTCTGTCTCTCTGTCTCTCTCTCTCTCTGTGTGTGTGTGTGTGTGTGTGTGTGTGTGTGTGTGTGTGTGTGTGTGTGTGTGCATGCTCATGCTCATATGTGTTTGAGCCGATGACTTGATTGGGAAGAGTCTGGTTTTATCCTGCACTTGAGTGGGATACCTAGAAAAGGACCAGACATAGTGTCCCAAATCCCAAGCCCAACTTCAGTCATTCTACGGATCACGTGTGCCTGCCCCTGTCCCCTAAGACCAATGGTGGTATTGGATTCGACTCCCACAAAAGAATCCAATTATGAAACTAACTGCCAAGGATTAGAGGAGCTGCCTATTGCCTAACCGGGAAGTGCATGGGACCAGGTGGCTCACTGCTGAGCCAGACCCTACCGCAGAAGATGGCCTGGGGTTTCCCTACGGTACAGAAAAACATTTGTGCTGAAGCGGTAGGACTTCAGGGCTGCTGGGAGGGGTTGCCTCTGAAGGTGAGCTTTGCTCAGCTTGGTTTTATGGGGGAGAGATAAGGTAGGGACCCTGCCCCAATTTGAGACTGTCGTGACCACGGTCCCAGAATGGAGGCATTCAAGGAGAATTTTAAGGGCTTGTGAAAACAAGACAGGAGTTCTGTGGCCACAGTTCCTTCAAAAACACGGAATTGTCCCTGGAACGTGCTTTCACATCCCTCCCAGGCGTAGTGGATAGGAATGAGTTTACGTCAGATTACTCATTACAACTGGGCTATTGCTATTTGTTTATATGACTCTACAGGAAAACACGGTTTTGCTACGTGTGCCTTGCCCGCTACATGCAGCTTGCTCGCTACGTGCAGCTTGTCCTTGTGATTGGACACTTGACTCATGTGACTCCTCTTAACCCTCAGAGTATGAGTATGAATAAAGTTAGCTATTGCATGAGACTTGTGTCAGCCTCCTTTTATAGGTTCCATTCTCCTAGGTCCCACCGCCTCTAGCACGGTGACACGGGACTGTCTTAGAGACCGCTATCCTGACCTGTGCTCAACGACTTTTAGCCCAAGGCTGCATGCAGTCTAAGTTGAAACCTTCAAGATTACTTGATGAGGTGCCAGTAGGTCGTCTGTTGTTTAGGTGAAGTTCTTTGCCAGCCTCAGACGGACCAAACATAAGCAGGGGCAAAGAAAGATGAAAGAATTGTGATCACTGTGTCACCTGGAGAGGCGCTTCCCAGGGCTTCTTGGTGATTTCATTCCTTCGTGATCATGTCACACTCCCAGAACTAGGGCTGACACACAATAAATCCTTGCCGGATGGATGGCTCAACAACAAGTGTCAGCTTCACTGCTGGAGTAAACATCCTGGAAACCCCCAGACTTTGAGCACACGCATGTGTGACTTTGAAAGTTGCCTGTCATTGATAAACACGATGGAAATGCGTGAGTTTTGTCACTGTTAGTTATAATGTGACCTGTTCATTTTGACTCAGACACGCTCTACTTGCTCGTGAGCAGAAACCATGATCCTGGAAATACTTTTCAAAACTCATATTATAATGCTTTTCAGTTTTGTTTTTTTAATGTGTTTATATTGACTTTGCAAATTCTCTTTGGGTTTGTGTAGGGCAGGACAGTCTCAATATTCCCATTTTATAGCTGAGGACGTTGAGGCTGAATGTACCCCCCAAAACACAAAGCTGAGACAGAAATGACTCAAAATTTTGTTCCTTTCTAGTACCCCAAGCTGGGGGAACTTGAGTCATCAAAGTGTGTAATTTTCCTTTGGTTCCACCAAATGAAAAGTGGCTCTCAATTCCATGCTCTGCATGGAAATGCTATTATAAGCCAGATGCAGGCTCTGCATGGGTATGCAATTACCAGGACAAGGGTATAATTTGGGGAGTGCAGCCTGGGTGGGCTTTACTTATGATAAACTCTGCTATTATCAGACAAGATCATGTGTGTGAACCAAATGAAGGTGATTCTGGTCCCCAAGTATTGTCTGGCCCAATCAGGCTGCAGCCGTCCTCTCTTGGAGGCTCTCAGTGGTGCTCGGTGTCTACTACGGCCATTTCTGTGAATTCAGAGTGAAAAGCAAGTGACACTCACACAGAGATAGTGATCCTGGTAGTGACCTCCTTAACTCCATCACCTGGGTTCTGGGCGGTGTTCCAGCCCCTGTGGGATGCCCGGGCTAAGCCTTCCCCTCTGTCTGGAGTACCATCAGTCAAATGCCAGCCCTGAGGGTCTGAGCTGAGGTTCAAAACAGAAAGGCCAGGTGCATTCTGGGGATGGATGGCTACTTCCCCTCTGGTGTTCACCAAGGCACGTTGGAGCCTTCTGGTTCAGCTGCCTCACCTGGAGACTTGGTGGGGTTGGTGAGAGCAACTGCTGGCCAATATGCTCCTGAGCTAGGCTGGACGCTGGTGCACAGTGAACGCTTGCTCTCTGCCCCACAGGATCTGATCTGTTCTTCAAACCAGCACGTGAGGTAGAGAGTCTTATTCATATTTAACAGAGGGACACGTATCTACATGAAGGGATTTAATGACCCGTGGGGGTGGGGGGGAGTGGCCTTTGACGTTCCAAAGCAGCCTTCCATCACAGCTAGCCTGTGTTTGCTACCAGATGCAACTATCCTCAGAAAAACAACTGAGAAGGTGGAATGAAGTGAGGTGCATGCCTTGAGTGTGACAAAAAAACAAGGTTACTGTGCCACACTCTTGCTCACAATGCCAAGCATCCCTCTGTGGCTGAAATGCACGACTGTTAGCCCTCCTATCTACAGCTTTACTCTTGGGCCTGGCTGTCCTTGCAGATATGATTCATGGAGACACTCGATCACAGAGTAGTCGGTGCTTGCTCACGGCGTCCCGTCTAAGCAGACTCTGCCAAGTGCCCAAGTCAATCCTGAAGCTTGTCCGAAGCTCGTCTGATCCTCTCTTGCTGAGACACGCCTGGTGTGTTCTCCCTCATGGCAATGAGCAGGGAACCCAGATTAATCAGATATGTTCCTGGTGCACCCTGGGGAAGGCATTCACCTTTGTTCAAGGCCCCACAGTTGGCCAATGGGTTCAAACCTCGGAATGATCTTCTTTCCAATCCCAGAGCCTGCACATTGGGACCTCCTGCCTTGGAGCGTGAAAAGTTATCATCACTGTAAAGTGCTCCCCATGGAAAGGATGGTTAAGGGTCTGATAGCTGCTCCTGGTGGCCCTGATGGTGATAGGACTCTCTGAACCTCCCCTATGCTCCAAAGTCATCCCAGCCAGAGGCTTTTCCTAGTTGCTGACCATTTACAAGAAGAGATAATAAAATCAGACACCTCTCACTGTCCCGTGGTCACACCCTCTGGACAGGCCAGTGTGTTTGGTAGGTAGTGCCCACAGCCTGTAAAGTGACTGTCTCGTCCATTTCTGTTTTTCTACCCTCTCGGTGCCTGGCATGTAAGGCTGCCACGTGCTCCGTTGGCGAAGACAGTTACGATCTCTTTCCCAGCATTGTTCTGTGTTCTTGGTAATATCCCTGAACAACGTCCTTTAGCCCAGCAAGCTTGAGGTTAAAGGTGTGGTGATATATTGTGTACCCTAATAAAATTTGCCTGAAGATCAGAGAACAGAGCAAGCCACTAGATTAAACATGGAGGCCAGGCAGTGGTGGCACACACCTTTAATCCCAGCACTCGGGAGGCAGAGGCAGATGGATCTCTGTGAATTCAAAACCACCCTGGACTACATGAGATGGACTCAGTCTAGGAGAGAAGACAGAGCCAGGCAGTGGTGGCACACACCTTTAATCCCAGTACTGGGAAGCACACGCCTTTAACCCCAGGAAGTGATGGCTGGGCGGAGCAAGGTATTTAAGGTGTGAGGAGACGGGAGCTAAAGGCTTTTCCGCAGAAGCATCCCTTTCAGCGAGAGGCTTTTTCGGATGGGGTCTTTTCAGACTGAGGAGTTGGCGAGGTGAGACGTGGCAGTGGCTTGTTTCTTTGTCTCTCTCTGATCTTTCAGCGATTACCCCAATATCTGGCTCTGTTTTTTTTTTTTTTTTTTTTTTTTTTTATCATTAAAAGACCGTTTAGATTTCCTGTTACGTAAAGGAGGCTGCTGGCTGCTCTAACAGACACCCTGGGGCCAGCAGCATGTCAGCTGATGGCTTTGGACATAGACTTTGACATCGCTCCCATCTACAGGCATCCGGCATCAATGCCAGAGGCTCATTCTGCCTCTGCAGCTGCTAAGATAGCAACAATTACCATGGGCGCCTAGCATCAGCGCCACTTATGAAGGATTGTGCTGTGCCAAGGACATTTTTATACTTATTTAATCCTCACTTAAAAACCGCTCTAAAGGACGGGGGATGGAGCTTAATTGGTAGAGTTCTTGCCTCGCATGCACAAAACCCTGGCTTTGATCCCCGGCGTGTATAAAACTTGTAATCCTAGTTCTTGGGAAGTGGAGCAGGAGGACCAGAAGTCCAAGGTCACTCACTCTTGGCTACGTAGTGAGTTAGAGGCCAACCTGGGCTGCAGGATACCAAGTCACCAACCAACCAACCAACCATTACTACTACAAGGTCAATATTATTGTTATTGGTTTATACATGAAGATCCCAGAATCCTGATACTCGTCCGAGCTGATACAGTTTGTAGTTTACAAAGCCCCAGAGTTAAAATTGGGATTCAGAGCTCTCTCCCACTCCACTGCATCTCTCTCTCTCCAGCTCTGGACCTTGGGCATCCTATCTGCACCAAATGCCTCTACCCAGGTGTGGTGGCTATGCTGTGCCACGGTCCCCACCAAGGCCAGAAGGACTAATTTGACTGGTTACAGTGACTACTGCCGACAGCCTCTCCGAGGATAGCCGCCTAAGGCTAAGTTCTTTCTCAGGGACGACATACAGCCATTGCTTGGGGGGAGATATATTGATGGGAGGAAATATAAAGGCCTCACCCTTGCCCTAATGGGGACCACACTGAAGGCCTATCCCTGTTTCCCAGTTCCCTATGGAGCCAGCTGGGTTTTGCCATGGTGCCACAGTCCAACGCTCCCTCAGACAATCCTACCCGCCCCACCCTGGTGGTTGTCTTAGAGCCTCTTTGGGAATTTTCCTATTATACCATCCTCCCTCATGGTCTGCTTTCTGGGGAACCCCACCTGCAACAAGGATATTTTGCAAGATTAGCTTGGGGGAGGTGAGCTTTGAAGATTTGTCCACAGGCTCCTGTACAAAATTGCAATGCCTGGAGAGGTTCATGTCCTCAGCAGGAGGGACAGGCAATCTTGTGTTCTTGGCCTAAGCCAGCACTGGCTGGAAGTAGTTCTGTGGCTTGCGAGATCATCTTACCTGTCTGAAGGAATTTCTCTGCTACAAAAGTCAAGCTGAATATGTGTATGTGCATGTGCATGTGTGTTATTTATATCCTATTATATATATGTATATATATGTATATATATACATATATATATATGTTTTCAGGTTGGAGGGCCTGACAGTCTATGCTTAAGGAAGTAAAGGACATCAACACTCATAGTTCAACCTTCAAAATAAATCATTTACAACGCCTGAACTTGAGCAAACAGCCTGGTCATTCTGATACCATTCCTTGAGTCTACCAGTTCCTCATTTATTTAGTTCTGCTCTGTGCCAGCCCCTGGGCTAGCAAATTAGTCCTTCTGGCCTTGGTGGGGACCGTAGCACAGCATAGCCACCACACCTGGGTAGAGGCTTTCGGTGCAGAGAGGATGCCCAAGGCCCAGAGCTGGAGAGAGAGAGATGCAGTGGAGTGGGAGAGAGCTCTGAATCCCAATTTTAACTCTGGGGCTTTGTAAACTACAAACTGTATCAGCTCAGACGAGTATCAGGATTCTGGGATCTTCATGTGTAAAACGGGAGGACAGAGATACACGAAATCATTTCTGGTTTTGAGGCCTTGACAGAAACCCATCAGAATAAAGTACACAATCATTTGCAGTGACTGGTTGAAAATGGTGAGGAATCATAATAGTAAAAAAAACCCAGTGAGCATTATATTTCCATACTTAATTCAATGAAAACGGTGGCTAAGTGCATAAGACATGCTGTCACCCAGTGGGCAATGGCCAGGGAGGTAAATGCTTACTACGAAAACATAAGTATCTGAGTTCGGTCCTTGGCACCCATGTAGGAGCCCGGTGTGGCGGCATGCACTGTTGGGGATGTAGAGACAGGCAGGTCCCTGCAGCTCACCGGCCACCCAGTCTAGCCAAATCAGTGAACTTCCCAGTGAGAGACCCTGTCTCAAAGAAACAAGGTGGATGACTCTTGCCAGCAGATAATTAAGGTTGACCTCTGGCATTCCCATGAGCACACATGCATGCAGACCTGCACGTTACAGGCCCGCCTGCCCATGCCCTCACACATAGAAACGCTGTCAACCAAAGTTATTATGAAAAGAAACTCGCTTTTGAAATCAGCTATTGCGAAAAGAAACGTAGCTTTAGAAATGAGCTACTTTCTTGCCAGCGTTGGGCAGCCTGTGGCTGTGACCTCTGGGTGTTGAGGCCACCCTGATCATCTTAGGGGACCATGACTTGGTGTGTGACAACAGCTGAAGGCTTTGGTTCTTTCAAGCCACCGTGCCAACTTCTCAAGAGCTAATATTCTTACGATATTAGTTTGTATAATTTTCCGACTCTGATGCTCATGGTCTCCTGGATGAATTTCAATTGCTCTTTTGACACCCCCCAGAAAGATTTCTTCTGTCTCCTGGGTGACCGGCTCGCGAGGCTTTCTGAGTCCTCCTGGCCTTCTTGCCAGTTTCTCTTTCTGGAATGCTTCTCCATTCTCTCGACTAGACCACAGGAGGCTTCCCTTTCAGGCTGGCTACAGCTTTGTTAGCCTTTGAACACACTTCCCTGAACACTGCCGCCTTACAGGGGTCTTCCATCCTTTAGACCTGTGGCGAAGGTTCTGAAGAAATGAGGAAGGGTTAGGTGTTGTATCCTGAAGGTGTCCTGTTGGGTGAAGGACCTGCTTGCCCTCTTGGTGTGATTTATGGCATCTCGGCTAAGAACAAGAAGCTTCCTTCAATTCTTTATCAGGGTTCCTCCAAAAATACCGAACAACTTTTATCCAGCTACTTTGGGGGACAGAAGTAGCATTTTTCACGGGTGAGCATAAATTAAGCGAACTTCTTTTTCTTTTTATAGAGAGCAATAAATCAAAAGGGAGAGAGGAAAAAAAGAGCCTTTTGTGACCCATCTTGGTTCCCTGGGAACAGCAATAACCTGGCCTTGATCCCAAAAAGGAGTAGGAAACTATTTTTCATGCTGAGTTCAGTTCGGTTTTCAGGAAAAATGAATTATGGTCCACTTGCCTGTAAGTTCGCATCTGTTCGTGTGTGTGTGTGTGTGTGTGTGTGTGTGTGTGTGTGTGTGTGTGTGTGTTTGCTGGTGTGTGGCATGTGTCCCCATGGGTGCCCACCTGTCTAACTGGCTCTTATACTTTTTAAGTCTAAAGCAGACTTGGGATGTCACCACTGAAATCCTGAGGGAACACCAGACCAAGGCAAGAGGCAGACCCTTGGGGGAATGGAACTTACAAGAGGACATGGGGTTCAGTACTCTAAGTCATTCGTGTGAAGAGTCACAGTGATGCCCAGGGGACTACCTACTTTCCCTGCCACATGTTGCTAGGGGTGCAACTGTGTATGTGTGTGGGGTGTGTGTGTGTTGGGGGAGGGGTAGGGCTCTGAACTGAATTGTTCTGGTCCTCTGCTGCTTCAACAAAACTCAGGTGATGGTGCACGCCTTTAATCCCAGCACTCAGGAGGCAGAGGCAGGCAGATGTGTGTGAGTTCAAGGTCAGCCTGGTCTACAGAGTGAGTGTCAGGAGAGCCAGGGCTACACAGAGAAACCCTGTCTGGGGGTCAGGGGCCAAACAACAACAATAACAAAATCCGTCTCGGAACCACAACATCCCTGTCGCCTGCACCCCGAGGCTGGTTCCCACTTCTTCCGAGGGGGCCTCCTACCTGGGTGTCTGGGTACCAAACCCAGATCCTAGGGCTGTTCATTCTCTTCCAGTTCATTTTTTTTTCTTTTGTTCTTCCCTTCCTAAGACAGTCCAGAGTTCCCATTGCCTGCAATGGCTCTCCTTCTCTTGGCATTTTCTCCTGAGAACGCCCACTAGCCTGGGGTGGGAGGACTTTAAAATCAGCATTCCACTGCAGAAGAGAGGGGGGGGGGAGGAAGAGAGAGAGAGAGAGAGAGAGAGAGAGAGAGAGAGAGAGAGAGCGCTTGCTGTAAGTGACTGTTACAGCCGTTGTCCATGGAGACTTGGACCGTATAGGAGAGAGACTGGATCAGGCTCCTGGGAGCCTGGGTCAGGCTGAGGAACTCATCATTTCTGCCTGGGCTGGACCCAAGCCTGTGGAGACGAACAATTAGAGAGGTAGGCAGTCAGAGAGAAAGAAGATGCTGAGTTATCCTGAGATCTCCCCCAGGGTCCCCTGGGGCTCATCATGAGGGCAGCAGCTGAGGAAGCCTCCCCAGGGCCAGACTCCACGGCTCAGTGCATGTCCACATGCATGTGTAATCCCCTCTGAGAGCCATGGCAGTTGAGATGAGGTCAAAGGGTGAGACCCTACAGTGGGGTGAGTGTTCTTTATTAAAAGAGGAAGAGGCCTGGTTAAGACGCAGCCGTGCGCGGGCTGGGAAGAGAGTCCTTACATAACCTGGTCTGGGACTCCTAGTCTCTAAAAGGCTGTGGCTTTTACTGTTTAAACCACAGAATCTGTGGCTGGAGAGATTGGCTTAGTGATTAAGAGCCCCGGCAATTCCTAGCACCCACACGGTGCTCATAACAGTCTGTAACTCCAATTCCAGAGGATCTGGCATCCTCTTCTGGTCTCTGAAGGCACAGGGCACATGGTACACATACAGACATGCAGGCAAAAAAAAAAAACCCACAACATAAAATAAAGGAAGATACTTTAAACCACAGTGTCTGGGACCTTTTATTCTAGGCCTTACCTTACATTATGTTCCTATCACCCTAGTTCCAGGGATAATCTACAGTGGTAGCACAGAGTCCAGCCATAGGAAGATGGGGCATGGGGAGGATCCAGGTGTGGGGCAGACCAGATGGGGTTAATACAGTCATGGGGAGGAGCCAGATATGGGGCAGACCAGATGGGGTTAATACAGTCATGGGCAGGAGCCAGGTGTGGGGCAGACCAGATGGGGTTAATACAGTCATGGGCAGGAGCCAGGTGTGGGGCAGACCAGATGGGTCTAACCAGGTAGCCGAGTCTGCATGTGACCAGACTCTTGTCTGGTTGCCCTGGCTTCCTTCTTTCCTTCCACCTAGGGTTGGCTGGGACAGGTAATTTTCTCAGACAACCTTCCTTGGAGGACACAGTGATTTCTGGCCCAGACATGTAGTTTAGCACACTGCTGTGTAATTAAGCTGGGCTATGGAGGTCCTGGCACTCAGCTCTCTCTGTGGTAAGGCCGCCCAAGTCTGTCATGCAGCTGCCTGGCCTCCTTCAGTGGTCTTTCCTCCCATCCTGAGGAGAATATATTCACCTAGCTTCACTCCCAGGAAGCTGAACTGTAGGGGAGAAACATCCACTGGGTGCATAGAGGGGTCACACCCTCCTCAGGGTTCTTTGCCTGGAGTGTTCATTCCCCAGCCCAGATTCTCCTTCTTAGCCAGTCAGATTTCTGCTGAGGAAATTTCAGAGTTTAAGGGTTCGATGTCAGGGCCTCCCCGATGGACCACAGCAGGTTAGGCTCCAGGTGGCATTGGAACATCTACTTCTCTTCTCTCTCTTGGTTTTTTGAGGCAGGGTTTCTTTGGAGAGCCCTGGTTGTCTTATAACTCACTCTGCAAGACCAGGCTGGCCTTGAACTCACAGAGATCCATCTGCCTCTGCCTCCCAAGTGCTGGGATTAAAGGTGTGCACCACCACCACCTGGCTCAGGGGCTCCTTTTCTAAGGGGTTTGGCCTCTTGGAGCAGCTGAAGGAGGAATGGGAAAGGGGACAGAGAATAGCAAAAGAAAGAGAGTCACATGGGGACCACCTGATATGGGACAAGAACGGTGGCACTTGGGAAGAATCTAGCCCAAACCAGTGCTCAGAACCCCTGGCATCCTAGGTCTGTGGTTCTGATGTAACAGTTTGAATGGCTGCCCTGTGGTCTTGTATTTTAAGGAAAAGGCACTTGAGAATGCAGGTCGTTGGGTGAGGGGCTATGGCCCACAGAAGATGGCCTCTTTCCTACCTGATTCTGGCCCTTTGCGGGCTCAGGCTTCCCCCATAAGCACCCACCTCTTCTTCTTGTTGGTTGCTGTTGGGAGTATACCCAAGGGGGTGTCTGCAGCCTGGCAGAAGGCAGGAGCTTAACCAGATCCAAGAGCCTGGGCCTCCAAGCTGCAGGAGAAGCATTGGCAGATCTGGCTGTGCTTAAAAATGCTTGGCACAGCTTTTTATAGGCACCTATCCCAAGTCACCCATACGAGAGCTCGTCCCTCAGAAGCCCACCCAAACTGTCCCTCGCCCCACTGTTTCCTACAGAATGGGAGATGTAGGCCTGGAGGGGTGACTCAGGCCTTCTGCCTCAGGTTGTACATCAGAGTAGGGTCACCTTGGTCCTGAGATTCCTAGGCAGGATGTAGGCTTGCAGCTTCTGAGCCCAGAGTATTTTGTAGGGACAGACCCTCTTCTGTGCCGCAGGGTGTCCAGCTTGTCTATTTCCAGCATGTGGGACAGAACTACTCTCAGCCTGGTGTTTATAAGTGCATCTCAAAGCTAGACTCTGCTTGCCGAAGACCTCAGCCTGCCATGGGGCATCTAGACGAGAGCTGTCGTGGATTCCACAGACCCAGGCACCTGGTCCCAAGTATGGGTTATAACTGTCCCCCAAGCCCTGGTCTCTGACAGTCTTCAAAATACTTCTGCTAAAATTGAAGTGGTAGCTTTGCGGGGGAAGGAGCTCAGGGCAGTTTGGAAAAAACTCTTCGATTCTGCTTCATGCAGTCGATCTTGCAGGCTAGGGGTCTCCCACTCACTCTGAGAATGGATTTCCAAGCGTAACAGGGCAGGCCTCTGTATACTCTTATGTGAACCTTTGCTCCACCCACCTCTTTCCTCTCCCTGCCCCTTTCCCTCCAAGGTATGACCCCTGGGGAACAATTTGAGCAGCACTGCTTACTACTTTCTCTGAAGAAAAAACTCGTCGACCAAGGTGGACCGGATTATTATGTCTCTTTCTCTTTGCTGAAGTACTTCTCAATCTATCTACTAAAGAAAAAAAAAAAAAACCCCACCATCAGGATCTTTAATAAACGGGCTTTAATCAAGGGAATTATCAATGTGATTCATCCTCCCTCAGGGCACATCTGCAATTTATCTTTCAGCCAAGGGCTCAATGTTTTAATGCACAGGACCTTGGAACAATGGCCATTAATCCCATCTGTCCCCACGAGAAGGAAGACGCATTTGATGTTAGTGCCCAGGGCTCTGGCCCCATTAGGAATTTCTCCACTGGAGTCCCCATAACGCTAACATCTTAACTAAGATGGGGCAAAAGAAGAGTGGCACACAGTGCTCCAGGGGCGAGGCTGAGCCGGGCCGTGGTGACCCCTCCCTGTTCATGGTGACAGTCGAGGCTGCTGGGCTCAGGAGTCGTGGGTGGTTGTTCAATCCCCTCCACTGCCTTCCTTACTTGTTCCTCTGGGTTTCAGCCCAGATGCTGCAAGGAGGAGGATGCTCCTAAGCATGGGTTGGTGGTGGCGGTGGTGGCGGTGGTGGCGGTGACACATTCTCGTGGTGAACGAGGTCAGTAAAGTGGGAGCTGCTCCAGATCAGTCCCTGCCTTATTCGGCCGAATGGAGCCAATGCACCTGACCCTATGGTACCTACTGCCCTACAAAACCAGAGACTCAGAGGCTACAACGGGCCTGGGGATGTGGACTGGAATCTACCCGTCTTTCTTTTTTCTTCCCATGGGGAACAGTTATGTCTCTCTTTTGCAGCCCCTGGAAAGGAAGGACTGATTTTCCTCCCTCCTCTTTCCATCCTCACAGCCTCAGCCCCTGGACCAGGCCTGGTAAACCAGAGACTCTGTGCACTCAGCCTTTGCCTATAGCCCATGGCAGCAGCACCCCCCCCCCCCGCCACCCCTGTTCTGCCTTGGACCCTGCTTGCCACAGTCCCAGATGCCAGAGGCCTGGAGGGGCTGCCATGACACTGTTAAGAACCGAATTATTCCCAGAATTACAGAACCCCTTAGGAAAAAAGTTCGACCCGTTTGGCAACTTCAATACATTTTCGGAACCAGAGAATTAGAGTTTCTAAACCTCAAGTTGGGAAAGGACTTGTATGTCCACTTTCTTTCCCACAAAGCACGCTTACACGAGTCTCTTTTTCTCCATCCAGGTCTTCTTGCATAGAAGCATGCCCTAGAGAGAAACATTCCCGTGGCCTCTCCTGCCATTCCTGGATCTCTAAAAGACCCATACTTATTGAAGTCAAGGAAGGGCCAATGGCGGCTTAGGGGCATGAAGTACGACGTGTTGCACTCTGGGTTGAGGCAGTGGAATGTCCTTGTGTTCTTCCCAGTGTCCTCTTTCCCCTTTACCAGTGGTTACCAACAATTTCCCCTTTTTTTTTGCTTGTACACTCAAGTTTGAGTGTGTGTGTGTGTGTGTGTGTGTGTGTGTGTGTGTGTGTGTGTGTGTGTGTGTGAAAGAGAGTGTGTTTTGACTGCACGTATGTTTGTGCACCATGCGTGTGCCTGGTACTCTATAAAGTCAAAATAATGGTGTTAAGTCCCCTGGGACCAGAGTGGTGGATGGTTGTGAGCTACCATGTGGATACTGGAAACCAAACCTGGGTCATCTGCAAGAGCCACAAGGGCTGCTGACCACGGAACCGTCTCTCCCACCGACAATTTCTTACATCCAGATCCAAGCCACCTGACCCACCAGGATCTGCAAGGAGTTCTCAGCCCAAGAGAGACGCCCAACCTCCACGGATTCTGCCTGAGGAAGAGAGAAACTTACAAAGTCACGGGCTGCTTGCTAAAGCAGTATAGTGCAGCTTGTCCTGGAGGCTTCCAGTTTGTGTTTTGAATCTGTGGGGTGGGACTTCTCCAAGACAGATGCTGCTCGGGTCCTTGTTGAGCAGCTGTGAGCCACAAAGGTCACGTTTCCTGGAACTCAAGTTGGCTTCCTCATACACACCTGCCTCCCACCTCAGTAGGTGAAGTTCATCCTGGGCCACTGCTGTTGTCTCTGAAGTCATGGCTCTCAAGCCTCCATGTGTATCTGGATTGGTCAGTGGAGTTGTATAAACAGTGCTAGGCTCTGTCTCGGTAGATGTTATGAACTGAAGGTAACCCCCTGAATTCCTGTGTTGAAGTCTTAAACCCCAACATGACGTTATTACCAGGTAGGGCCTTTGATGAAGTCACAGAGGCAGAGCCCTCCTGGATAAGATTAGTACCCTTATAAAAGTATCCACAGCGAGGAGTTCGATCTCCCTCTTCCAGAGAATCAGTCTTCTATAGCCTTGAAGAGTGTCAGCACCCGAACCAACCATGTGAGGCTCTGGTATCCACTTCTAGACTTGGGAACAGTGAGGAATAAATTTCTGTTTACAAACTGTTGCGTTTCTGACACTTTGCTATAGAAGCAAACCTGGACTCAGGCAAGACAGTAGTTTAGAGCAAGACCCGCAAATGTGCATTTTTAGCAAGTTCCTGGGGACAGGGGTGTGCTGCCACAGGCACTCTGGGGACCGGCAACTGCTCTGTATATTCTGTTAGACCTCTCCAGGAGCCCGCTAGCCTGAGCTGTACATAAACACAGAGGCATGCTGCTCTGCTCAGCTCCATGATCTCTCCTCCTCTTCCTTTTCATTCAGCATCTTATTGCTCCCAGGGGACAGTCTAACTTTGAAGTATTTCACAATCAGGATTCTCGTTCTTCATCTTTTATCATTGCCCCATCCCTCTCTCACCACCCCCAGTTCCCAAGTATGACTGACTTTACTTAATTCCTTAGAAGCATCCGATAATCTTGCCAATGGACTTGGTCTTTACCTGAAATCTCCACCCCCTCCCCCCAACCATCATTACTTCCAGGTTTCCAAACCATTCCACGCCAAAGACAATTTCAAAGCTCAGAAAGAGTGTCGGAGGCTTTTTAGGGAACAAAACTCTGTTGGTAGCTGCACTTCATTGGACAGGTGACTGAAGAGAATTTGTCCTTAACTTTTCGGAGATTGATGAAAGCTACTGGGCTTCCCCTCAGAAAACACATAAGCAAAAAAATGGGGGAAATGTTTAGGGCACTTAAAATACATCTGTAGTCCAAATTCTGTGTCAAAGGAATGGTTACCAGTCTAGGGGTGAGATTTAGTTTTTATCACCACAGCCAGAATCTCATGAAAGGGGCCTAAGCTCACTGGACATCAGCCGCTGTTTTAGTCAGTGTTCTATTGTTGTGAAAAGACACCATGACCAAGGCAACTCTTATAAAGTAAAACATTTCATAGGGGCTGGCTTAGTCCATTATTTTCATGGTGGGGAGCATGGCGGCATGCAGGCACACATGGTGCTGGAGAAGTAGCTGAGAGTTCCACATCTGGATCTGCAGGCAGCAGGAGAGAGAGAGAGAGAGAGAGAGAGAGAGAGAGAGAGAGAGAGAGAGAGAGAGAGAGAGACTCTGGTCTTGACTTGGGTGTTTGAAACCTCAAAGTCCACCCCCAGTGACACACTTCCTCTTCCAACAAGGCCATGCCTCCTAATCCTTCTAAATAGTGCCACTGCCACTCCCCGGTGACCAAGTATTCAAATCTAGGAGCCTATGGGGGGCATTCTCAGTCACATCACCACAGTGTCCTTCCTTATAAGACAGCCGAGATGCTACTGGTCACCCGAGGAACAGTGAGGAGTGGTCCCCTCTGGTGCACTGGAGGTTTCACTGAAAACCATTTTCTGTACTTTTTAATGCAAAGAAACTGCTAAGGGGTTCCTCAGCTAACACTGGAACCAGGATATGGAGTCAGACCAGAGAAAGACCTGAATTCTTTTTTAAAAATACCACTAGCATGTATTTATGTATCCCAAGGGTTAAATAAAAACGCACAAACCTCCCAGGGGCTGGCAACACACACTTCAAGCTCTAACTCAGTTGCCTCCTCGGCTGTGGGACCTTAGCGGAGAACATGAGCTGGATACTCAGGTTCATCAAATTGATTCTCAGATGCAGCTTTGGGTTCTAAGTGGGAAGTAGAATTGAAACAATCATTTCCTCCCTAAATCCAAAGCTCTCAGCAGCCTCTCTGGCCCCAAATCCCAGAGATGAAGGTCAAGAAGGGGACGGGGAGCCAGGGATCTGATTCTGCCAAGCTGATGCTGGATGGGTGAAGGTTGCTGCTGGGAAGGTGAGGTCCTTCACCATCAGGAGGACAGGAACTGAGGGGCAGACTTAAGCAGTGTGCCAAAGGTCACAGAACTGCAGGGTGACGAGGTCAGGATTTGAAATCACATCTGTGGAGATGAGCATAGAGTAAATAGCTCTTTTCCCCTCATCAGAGGACCCCCTCCCCTACACACAAGCTCCCGCTTCTGTTCAGAGTGCAAATGAGTACCACCCCCATCCAAACTGGTTATGGCTGGTCCCTATCCCACAGTCAAGGGAGAACATCCAAGCCAAGCGAAGCACCGTCTTGGCTGCTGATCCTTGCAGTGGCAGATTCCTGCCTGAGGGTCAGCCTGTTGCCTGAAGCCACAATTGTAATCACAGCTGAGAAATGACAGCCTAATCATAATGATGGTAACAATATAATAAAGATAACAATAGCTGCCTGGCAGTGGTGGGCACACGCCTTTAGTCCCAGCACTTGGGAAGCAGAGCCAGGAGGATCTCTGTGAGTTCGAGGCCAGCCTGGTCTGCAGAGGGAGATCCAGGACGGGCTCCAAAGTTACACAGAGAAACCCTGCCTCGAAAAAACAAAAAAAACCAAACCAACCAACCAAACCAAACCAAACAAAACCAATAGCTAAGGTGTACCAAGATTGCCCTAAGCACCTTGCCCATATTGGTGTGTCTAACTTCTTCTTCTTCTTTTTTTTTTTTTTTTTTTAAGTTTTCACTACCATACATCAATGATATGTACTAATGGGGTTTCATCATGATGTTTCCATACATGCGTGCAATGTACTTTGACCACATTTGCCGTTGCTCTCCTTTTTCTCCTCCCACTCCTACAAATCTCTTTCCTCTCTTCACTCTGGTCCCCTGACCTCCTTGCCTTTGGTTTGTTTGTTTGTGAGCCAGTGGGTTCAGTTAGAATTATTTACAGGAGGATGAGCAGCTTGTGGATGGCTACGCCACTAAAGGAAATGTCTCTCCCTCCCTCGGGGAGGGGTAAGGCTTTCGAGTCCCCTCTTCATGTTTAATGTTCTTGTTCTACGCTAATATTAATCCCCTCCTTTCACATTTTGCTGGTGAGGAAACTGAGGTACAAAGTGTCTAACTGGGCCAAAGTCACAGCTGAAAAGGAACAGAACCAGGACCCATTTCTAACCATCTTCAGAGCCGGTGCTCTTGGGTTCCATATGTTGATTCCATATACTGTATAATCTACATTATACACAGTATATTCTATGTACTGATAAATAGTTAACACACATTATGCTTACTACACCTTGGGCATTGCTATACATACTTTGCATATGTTAATATACCGAACAGGAATTCTTCAGAGGCCACCATAGAGGCGGATACAATTTGTGCCTCCATCTCACCTGAGACTAAGCATAGGACAGCCAAGCCACTTGTCTGAGGTCACCCAGCATGTAAACAGTGGACATGGGCTTTGGACCACCCCTTGGACTCCAGAGTCTGTGCTCTCAAACATTGTTCTAGCAGCTAAACCCTAAGATCACAACTGTCTTAAGCAGATCTTCTGTTCTGGGACAGAGCCCTGAGGATGCCCACAGGGCATTTGGGACAAGAACACCTGGTAACCCCTAACTTCCAGACTTCCGTTGCCTGGTGACCCACTGTGCTGGGTAGACACAATAACTCGTGGCTGTGGTTATGAGTAACTGGCGGTTCCGCTCGAGCAGGGGCAGTGCTACGAGGAAGTGTGGGCTGAAGCTAGAGAATGTGGTTGTATAGAGGGGTAAAGGATGTGAAGCTCTTCTCTCTCTCCCCTCCTCCTACTCCTCTCTTTCTCCCCCACCCCAGCTCTTGTTTTAAGAGATTAAGTCTCGTATATACTTGGAAGCCTGGAAATGAGTATATAGTTGAGGCTGACCTTGAACGGTATCTACTTACTATTTATTTTGTATTTGTTCATTGTGTGTTTGTGTGTCAAGGCACACAAGGGGTGGGTCAGAGCGGTCAGTTCTTTTCTTCTGGCGTGTAAGTCCTGGGGACTGAATTCAGGTCCTCAGGCTGGTACCACCCAGCCATCCTGCTGTCCTCTGACCTTGAACTTCTGATCCTTCTGAGCCACCACACTGGCTCTGCTCTTTGTCTCTTGAGTCCCATTCTCTTTCTCCCTTGTTAGGATGAAGGACAAAAGCAATCTCCAGCACATTCTCTTGGGTCCCGTTACCCAGCGCAGACCTGACCTGCCGTTGTGTGTCCTCTACTGCTGGCCTGCCACTAGGAAACAGAATGAGGCTGGGGCCCCAAGCACAGCTCTCAAGACACCACAAAAGCCTGGTGGTGGTGTCGCTTGCCTTTAATCCCAGCATCTGGGAGGCAGAGGCAGGTGAATCTACACACCCAGTTCCAGGACACCCAGGCCTACACAAAGAAACCCAGTCTCAAAACACAAACAAACAAAAAGACAAACAAACAAAAAAAAAAACAAAACAACAACAGCAAAAACCACACAAAACAAGACACCGTGAAACTCTGGGAGGCCTGAAGTGGTGGCTGCTGAGGAGCAGGCTGCTGCCAGCAGCTCTATGAATTCATTTTGCGGCTTCACTGGAAGCACATCAAATACTTGGCACTAGGGAGTCCCTCCCCCGGGGACCAGATCTTGAGATTCAGAACGCAAGCTACTGCTCTGAAACGTGAAATAGTGCCTGTCGCTTGCTGCACAGGGACATTGATGCTCCAAGAAACTTTTTCCCGGGGTTGGGAAGTGCAGAGATTTTAGCCCTCATGGAAGGCAGTCAGTGGACGGGTGGGCGTCTAGGGAAGAACAGTATGAGGTAGCAGGGCACATAGGAGCAGCTCCCTTCTGCACTCCATCTGTGGGTGGGGCAGGAGGGGTTGGGAGGAGGAGAGGCTCCTGGGGACATTCCTCAGCCAGGCCTGGCGCAGCTGCAAAGGCAGCAGTTGTAGAGCTCCAGGGTGGGTCCGCAGTGGCCTCTCCTTCCTTGGGCTGAAAAGGCATCCTTCTGACCCCAGCAGCCATAGCATGGACTGTGGCTGACAGGGACTAGGCATTCCATCTTCCCATAAGGAGGCTTGAGCAAGTGGAGAGGAGAGCATGGCTTAGGACGTGAAGAACAACGGAGACCAAAGTGCTGAGGTGGCCTGGGGTCTGAGGGGGACGAAAGGAGGGCGCGGTCATTATTTGGATATGTTCTGTGTTTATGTAACTTCAGCTGAACTCCTTCCTAAAGGAA